TAGGGTCTAGGACTTTTAGGGTTTAGGGTTTAGGGCCCCTAAACCCTAAAACCCTAAACCCTAAACCCTAAACCCTAAACCCTAAACCCTAAACCCTAAACCCTAAACCCTTTAGGGTTTAGGGCCCTGGAGTCTCCGGGCAGAAGGCCAGGCTAGGGCGTAAGGCTTAGGCAGGAAGCCTAAGGCTTGAGGTCAGCAGTGACCTGGAGGTTCGATTACTTTTTCGTACATCACCTTCAGAAAACCTAGGGAATCCTGTACCTAGTATGTAGCCCTGGAAAATCTGATAATCTGATCATGATATTCAGGAGCCCGCACAAAACTATACAGTAAGGAACTTTGAGGAATCATACTAGCAATTCTGCAGGCCGGTCGATTTCAAAACGAATCGTTCCTTCCTGCTGCCACGAGGCTCAGCCTTTCCAGATCCGACGAGGTCGGCAAAGGGTGGGGATGCTCCACGAAACTCGCGTGGCTTCTAAAATCTAAGGGGGTTTAATGTAGGGTTGAAATTTTAAGACTCTACACCCCAACCTCAGGGTGTAGGGTTTAGGGTTTGGGCATAGCTTCATGTGGGCGCTGCATGGAAAAGCAGTGCAACTTGGGAAACCCGTACTCCAGATCCCTTGCCTCGAGGCTGAAGGACCTAACCCGAAGCTGCCCCTGCGGTTCATATAGGGGCTGGAAGAAGCAGTAGTGATTTATTGAGGGGTGCTATAACATACTGCAAGCCTTAAGGCCCCTCTAGTACGCTCATGGCACCCTCCAAAGGCTGACACGCGAAGCTTTTGACGCCCAAACCTGAAACTCCTGACCTAAAGCCTTAGACTGGCCCTAAACCCAAACCCCGGATTTTTTTAGAGAGTTTGGGGTTTCGGGCTTTAGGCCTTTAGGGTTTATAGGGGTTAGGGTTCCAAGCCTTAAGCCTTGCGCCCCAAACCCCAAGGCCTCAGCCCTCTAAAGCCTACATTCTGAGGCCTGGCGTTTTTCTCTTTAGCCTGTGAAAAAGGCTTCAAACCCTCCAAGGTCTCAGCCTGTCTCAGCCGCGAGCCGGAACATGTCGGCTGGCAGGATCCCAAACCCAGCCACGTGATCTTTTTGACGAGCAAGTACCAGGGCAGGTACGCGCAATTCGAGACGGAGCGCTTGATCAGGAGCCGTGCGGCCCCGTGCTGTCATCTTGTGGTGGGGTCTGGTTTGGAATTCACGATTTCGCCGCCATCTCAGACCTAGCTCATGTCAAAGATCACAGTGTTTCCGCTCACATGATGGAGAGAGTGCTTTTCTCCCAAAAGAAGTCTCTGCACACTGCAAGCTTTTTCAGGCCGAGTCCAATGTGGCAAGCAAGGTTTAGGAGTTTAGGGTTTGGCGGAGCCGGAGAGATAGTGCCTTTTTGTGGTTTTAGAAAATTCAGGTTGTCCTGTTTCCAAGTGTCTACTTCTGGCGGACGTGCTGGTCGAAACACCCGGCTCGCTGCAACAGTTGCGCGTCCTGTACAAATGCATTCAGGTGGGGCAGGGCGTCAGCGCCGAAACGAAACGGGCATTGTGGCAGTGGACGCAGTGCGAGATTGATGTGGCTGTGGTAGTTGCGGCGATGCCACTCGCTTGGCTCATGGACGACCGGAGTCCGCACAGGGCCCAGCAGACGAAAGGGCTTACATGTGAACATGTTCAAGACGCTTTGCCCACCAGTGTTCATGACTGCTAGAAGAAGTGTGCATCGCGTGAATCGTGTCTGTTCCGGAACAGAGCCCGGCCCGATTCCTTCAACTTGGCGGAAGGAAGACGCTCTTCACTTTCATCGGCGCCTTGCTGCCCATCGACTCCTCGCCAGCGTTGCAAATGGGCTGCCTAGGCGAGCGTGTGTAACAGAAGATAGGATCGAGTCTTCTGGGCCTTTGTCATGCAGGATGGGGTTCTATTCAGAGGATCATATGACTATTCGGAGTTTGCAAAGATTGGGAAAGGGCTCCGTGCTCTCTCAATGCCAGTCTTAGACCGGAGACTCCTCGAACCGATTTTACATCCGAAGCCCGAAAGGCTTGAAAGCTTGACTCTAGCCCGGGAGGCTTGGGCTATAAGGAGGGGACTTTTGCATGCAGATGTCTCGGAAGCTTCTGAGATCGGCGGGTGCAGTCGCAAATTTCAAGATTGCAGTCCATGTTGTTGTCCAAAATCTGAACCCTGAACACCCAAAACCACAGAACTGTCATCCACCCTGACCCCTGAACCCTAGGAACCTTGAGATTCTGAATGGTCCCATCAAAGCAGTCTCTTGGACGACTTTGCCAGGCATTGTGGTTTCGGTGTCGCTCTTTCTCTATTGCCGCTACAAGCCTTACCACTCGGCGGAGTGGAACTGGAGCGCTGGGTTCCGGTCTAGTAAAGAGATCGGAACATGTCTTAATAGGAAACAGCACTCCAAACACTTGCTCCAGCCATGAAAGCTTCTGCAACAAGTGCTTGATGTTTGGCTAAACTCTCAGCAAGTCGAGCTAGGGTGAGGGCATCTATTCAGGATCCTACCATCCAGGCTTTGTCTTGACAGCCGTGTGAGTATAACATATCCCAAAAATTTTTGAAGTTCATAACACCCCACAAGAACCCTACTCCCCCTAAACCCTAAACCCGAAACCCTAAACCCTCCTGAACCCTAAGCACTGTGAAACTCCTACAAGAACCCTAAACCCTAAACCCGAAACCCCTACAAGAACCCTAAACCCTCCTCCCCCCTGAACCCTAAACCCTAAACCCTAAACCCTAAACCCTCCTCCCCCCTGAACCCT